TTTTATTAAAATTTTGCTCGGATTTGTTGAAATTAGTTGTTATGATTCAGAGATTCTGATGTATCAAAATCTGCGAATTATAAAAGTTTTATAGAATTTCAATTCATAATGAAATGAATCACACATGTCTTGTGTACATCAAATAGTTTTGTACGCATCAAAACAGAACAGCCCAGCCCAGCTGTGTCTACGTATAAAAATGTGTGCTGCGTTTAGCCGTGCACAGAAAATTTAGGACACAACTGCAGATTCTACATCAATAGATTTGCAGATTTTAGCACCTATGCGCAAAAAAGCACATAACCGCAAGTGCTTTAGGCACGTATTTTATGCAGGATCTTCCACCTCTGCCAGCAAGAACCTTTCTTTCATGTAGAAAAAATGCTTATGCCTCTGTGAAGGAGCCCGAAAACTTTCACTGACAGCTTATGTTCGGCAGTCCTGATTGAGGTGAAGGACAGATCGCTAACTTTGTATTTTATTTGTGCAGCATCAGACATTTAGAGAACTCCTCTGCAACTGTGAAAAGGATACTTTTGTTGAAGTTATTATGATGATACACAGGTTGTATAAATTGCTGTTGGTTTATGTGATTTTGTTAAAATTTAGGAAAAATGTATTATGTTTATATATCTGGATGTCATGAGTGGGAGGTAGAAGCACTTTCTAACATTTTTTGTTATATATATTTAAGGTGAAGAGCTCTGCTATAGCTGCGTTTGTGCAGAGGGAGCACAAACATTTCCTTAATTTAGCAGAAAATTCTGACTGGGGTTCTAACCTTTCCCCACTCTATCTAAAAATGAAAAAAATATAAATTATGGCTGTAGATACAATTTAAAGTAATTCTAATGTCTCTTTTTTTTAAAAATAGCAAACATGTCTATACTTACCTGCTGTGTGCAGTGGTTTTTCACAGAGCAGCCTGTATCCTTTTTTCTTGGGTCCCCCACTGGCTCTCCTTGCCCCTCCGCAGTTTGCTATGGGAGCACCCACTGCTCTGTGTGTCCATTCACACATGGAGCCCCCTTTCTTCTTACTGGCTGAATGGCTGTGATAGACACAGTCAATGAGGAGGCAGAGACCCGGGACAGCCAAGGCTGTCATTCACATCACTGGATCGCGATGAGGCTTAGGTAACTATTGAGGGGTCGGGGGAGCTGCTGTACACAGAACGTTTTTTACCTTCATGCATAGAATGCATGGAAGTAAAAAATCTTCAGCCTTTACAACCACTTTAACTTTCAGAATAGATTCCCCAGGACGGTCTTATATCTTATATAGCCCTAACTGTTTTATTTGTAATTTATAAGCTCATGTTTGGAGTGCATGCAGAAAGTTCATAAGGTGGAATAATATGTTATAATAGTAATACATTATATTTATTAATATGTTTGAGAATACCTTAATTCTAACTTGTTCCCTTTATCTTTTATCAGGACTGAAAAAGACTCAATTTGCAACATTTTGGTTTCATAATTATGTACAAAGCATGTAGAAATTTGTTTTATATTGTTATGACGATTTTTGTACAATATTAAACAGTTACTAGAACAAACTGAATAAAGTTTCATAGCTGCAACCCTGTACTGAAATTATTTTAAAATTTGACAGTAACAACCTAACTCATCAACCTACCTTACTTACTTAGCTCCTCCAGAAACACTAAACAATATTTATTGAAATTACCCTCACAATATTTTAAAATGATGCTGTATGCAAACACAATTTGCTATTGCTATTATTTTATTATCTATTAAAATAGAAAACGGTTGCTCATTTATTAACAAATTAATATGTAAATTATGCAAGATAATGACATGAAAGAATACCAAATGCAACTTTGGAGAGTATGCATGAGAGGCAGGAAATATTAAAGAAAATATGTAGACAAATGCAAGTAGCAGTTTATAGTAATATGAAATTACTTAACATTTAACACTTTAATTTTCATTAAATAATATGATTACAAAAAATTAGTAAAGTTCATGTGGAAGATCAATAAAGTAGCTGTTTAAATCTGTCAGATTAGAAGATAATAATATGGCATGTAATTTAAATATCCTTCTTAGCTGCATTCACATGGCTAGAATTTTTGTAGAATGTTAAAATCATTTAATTTCAATCATCGTTTCGGTGGAAGAGATGGTTTTTGCCACCAGAAGCCTGAAGCTAGCAGTGTAGGACTGTATGAAGTTGGCACTAAAATTTTAGTTCCTAGTATTGTAAATTTGGGAGTTCTGGATAGTTAGAGGTTCTGTTAGTAGTTATAAACACCCATTCACACCACACCCAAGAAGCCAAAAAAAAATACTAAATTATCCACATGAAAAAGCTCAATCTGTCATATACATTAAAACTATTTTATTTATATGATAGTTTGTGTTAGAAGTTAGGTTGAGAATTAGGGGATAAAATGCCCTGCCTGGCCAAAGCTACAGGTTCAATTTACTGACATTCTCCCCAGGTGCACATATTCACCATCCTTTTTCACTCTTCACATGGCAGCCAGGAGGGAATAGAGGAAGCCCTATGTAAGCTCAAGGTTGTGTGATAGCACTAGATGTCTGAGCAGTCAGTCACCAAATGCCAGTGCCACCACATGGGAGGAAGTAGAGTAAGTCACATGAAGGTGAAGGGGAAGAAGGAATGAATATGTGCAGTTGGGGCGGGGTGCAGCAGTTCCCGTGACACTGTACTGACACAATTGTAGAGCTGTTATCACAGACCTTGCAAGCACTAGGTTTCAGCAATATAGTAACTTGGTGCTGCACTAATAAGTAATCCTTTGGAATAAAATAAGCAGAAAAATATCACAAAAAGAGCATATAAATCTCCAAAAATAAATATAGAATAGAATACATATGAAAAATACTGAAAAACCGTGGAACCCCCAAAGTACTAGATCTAGAGTGTTACCTACATGCACATTAAATAGGTGACTAATGGATATCAAATTATATATAAAAGATATATAGAATAGAATACACATGAATGTGCAAAATCATATATGATGGTGAAACCCCCAAAATATATCTAAGGTGTAACCTAAGTACACTCTAAATCGGTGATTTATAAGGGACAATCCTTAATAAGTGCCAATGAGTGATAAAATAAAATCCCACCACTACTTTGCTAAATTGCACTGATGACTAGTGATGTAGAAAATATACCTACAGGTATATTCCGTGCCAAACTGGTAATTGCTAAGAAAACTAACCGAAAAAACACTTTAAGTTAAATTTCCAATTTTTATCCCTGCATTTTTATTTGGTCACATTAAGCAGTTTATTTGTCTTTTCCTGTTCTTTGTGTTTATAGGCTGTGTGGCTTATAAACGCTTCACTACATACAAAGATGTAGACTGCTCAATAGCTGAGCGCAGTGAAAGCAAAGGAAGGTAGGTGTGCTGTGCTCTCTGCCTCCCCCTAGAGTGCAGTACCCGGCTCTGTGAGTGAACAATGAAGTACTGCAACTTTTTATAGGGTGTGTGTGTACGTGTGTATCTGTGTATGCATGTACATGTGTCTGTGTGTATGTACATGTGTGTATCTGTACATGTGTCTGCGTGTATGTACATGTATGTGTATGTGTGTACATGTGTCTGTGTGTATGTACATGTGTGTGTTTGTGTGTATGTACGTACATGTGTCTGTGTGTACTTGTGTCTGTGTATGCATGTACATATGTCTCTGTATGTATGTACATGTGTCTGTGTGTGTGTATTTCTGTGTATGTACATGTATCTGTGTGTATGCATGTCTCTACGTGCCTGTGTGTGTGTACGTGTCTCTGTGCGTGTGTGTACATGTTTCTGTGTGTGTGTATGTACTTGACTGTGTGTGTGTGCAGGTGTCTCTGTGTGTGTTTGTTGGTGGCGAGTAACTCTTAAAGCCTGGCTAGTAGCTCAGGACTTGAAATTGTAGGCCTTGACCTATTTAATGTGCATGTAGGTAACACTCTAGATCTAGTACTTTGGGGTTCCACGATTATATATTATTTTCATGTGTATGCTATTCTATATTTATTTTTGAGATTTATATGCTCTTTTTGTGATATTTTTCTGCTTATTTTATTCCAAAGGATTAATTATTAGCGCAGTACCAAGTTACTATATTTCAATATTGTCCATTGTGGTATGTGGTAGGGTGTTTAGCGGCTATATTTAGAGGTTGACATTCTGAGTGCGGGAGGTTTATATAAATATAATAGGTTTCAGCAGTTAACATATTCAGGCATGTTTAACTCCTATCTGGCACTTCAGCAGCACAGTGGAGTCAGTAAGTTCTCTGCACACTGCAGGCTGTTCTATGCTAATTGAAACTTCAGGGTAGGGTAGTGGCTTTTTAAGGTTCAGCAAGGTTAGATTGGATTTTTAGTACACTGGTCCAAGGCTCACCTTCTACTAGTGCTTCTAAGTATGTAAGTGAGGAGAAGGATGCAGTTTGCTATGTAGTTCTCCTCATCCCACATAAAAAAACTGCACCTGAGGCAGCTACCTTTTCTGCCCCCCCCCTTCAGCACTGTATGGAGTTCAATAGACCATCTATGTTTCAATAGTAGTCAATAGTCAAGAACAGACAGGACAGATGCTAGAGTGGTGTAAGTCCTCAGGCAGGTGGTCAAAGCAAACAACAGAGTACAATATGTACGGACAAGCAAACAGTTCACGGGAAAAGTTCCCAATATGTTGTTCAATTGTTAATTAAGGTACAGGCATATGCTGCAGAGACTTGAACTTCAGTGCTGAACAGGGCAGACTGACCATTTGGAAACTCGGCACTGCCGAGAGCCCGGGGTCAGTAGGGGGCCCCATGAGATGCCCCTGGTACCTTTTTCATAGGCTTTTTTGAGTTTGGGCAAGGACACAGGGCCCCATGATCTCCTATTGCCCTGGGGCCCCATGAGTTGTCAGTCCGCCCCTGGTGCTGAGTAATTTGGCAGCTTCAGAGAGGTGGAGGGAGAGTGTAGGTTGTTTATTTAAAGGTGCACCTATATTTTATGAGTTCTTTTGGGAAATATTTACTATGATACTTTTTACTTCTGTATAAGCTTTCAGGCCATCTTCCCCTAAACTCTCTTCCATTTCCAGATTCTTTATAGCCCCCAAATGGTGTCTGGGAAGCAACAATATTATAAGTGTTGACCCAGACAGTACCGGCTTGTAATGCCTGTGTTAAATACATTGCTCTGTCTAAGTCTTTTGTGAATACACCTGCAGCTAGTCCATACCTTGAATTATTTGCTCTCTCAATGACTTCATCTATTTTCTTAAATCTAAGTATTGATTGTACAGGGCCAAATATTTCTTCTTTTGCAATCCTCATGCTGTCATTAACATCAGCAAAAAAACAGTTGGCTTGATGAAAAAATCCTTGATCTCCGCATTTCTCACCACCACTCACAAGTTTAGCACCTTCTTGTTTTCCAATTTTAATATAGTCAAGAATTTTATTAAACTGGATCTTATTTATTTGTGGGCCGTGCTCTGTATCTGATTCAAAAGGATTTCCAATCTTTCTTGCTTTTGCCTTCTCAACAGCTTTTTCTAAGAATTTATTGTATATTGATTCTTCAACATAGGTTCTAGAACCAGCAGCACAGCACTGACCCATGTTGAAAAACACAGCTTCGTGGCATTGTTCTACTGCTTGTTCTAAGTTTGCATCTGCCAGGACAATACAAGGACTTTTGCCACCAAGTTCCAATGTAACTCGTTTAAGGTTTGACTCACCGGCTGCTTGCTGAATTTGCCGGCCAACATTTGTAGAACCAGTAAATGCTACTTTATCAACATCCATGTGTCTTGCTATTGCTGCACCTGCAGTAGGCCCATAACCCGTTAATATGTTCACCACCCCGGGTGGAAATCCAGCTTCCTTAATCAAAGATGCAACATATAAAGCAGAGAGAGGCGTCTGCTCAGCAACTTTCATGACAACTGTGTTTCCAGTGGCTAGTGCTGGTGCTAGTTTCCAGCACTGCATTATTAATGGGAAATTCCAGGGAATAATTTGACCACATACACCAACAGGTTCATGTCTGGTATAGCAAAAATAACTTCCATCCATGGGAATCGTTTTTTCCATGACATTTGTCAGCAAATCCTCCAAAATATCGATAAATCTTGATCGTTTCACCAACATCTAAATTATAAGACACTGAAAAAGGTTTACCGTTGTCCAGTGATTCAAGAGAGGCCAAGTAGACCCTATCCCTTTCTATTAGGTCTGCGAGGCGATTTAGAAGCTGACCTCTATGTGATGCGTCCATATTACGCCATGGAGATCCTAGTCTAAAGGCTTGTTTTGCAGCTTGTACTGCTAGGTCAACATCAGTCTTATCTGCTTCAGCCACATGAGCAATTATTTCTCCAGTAGATGGATCCACAGTTGGAAATGTCCTCCCACTGACTGCATTATGCCATTCATTGTTTATGAATAGCTTGGTGTGTCTCACATCTTCTAAAGGCTTCTGTACTTTTGAGTATGAAGCTACCATGTGACGAAATGTAGAGATATGTTGGTGGGCTTGAATGCGGAACATGGTTTCCCTACAAAATAAAAATGTTTATTAATATATACATAATATATTCATATTAATATATTATAATACATATATGATTAACATGAGGTAAAACATTTTAGCTGTACAGAGATTCACTAATGTCCAGCCATCATTTCTATAATGTTTTAAATGGTTTTGGATAGGATGGAGAAGGATGAGCACTTTTGTTTGCTATGAAGAACCTTTTTTCCTCTCACTTTCTAAATTGGTAAGAAAGTGAGAGAAATTTTGGAAAAGAAAAAAGGAGGCAATAAAAAGCTAGCCTTCCCTTGCAATAAAAATGCATCTTTTTCTTTGTGTTGCCATTTTAGATTTTCCCTCACTTTTTGTCTGGTAAAACTGTTGGCTGCAGGGCAGAAAGGGAGGGGAAGCTCTCTAATAGAGCCTCAGATAGCATAAAAACCAGAAGAGTTCTAGAACTTGCCCTATTACTCTGTCTAAAACTATAAAAGAAAGTTTGGGCTGATGTGCATTTTAAAGTATATTTACACTTTTGCAGTCAAAAATGAGAAGAACCCACGATATGTTCATTATGTGTTCCCATTCACACATTGTACCTAAAAATTAAAAAATTTACATCTTTTAAAAGTGTCTTAACAGAAAGCTTGATGCCAGACAGGAAGCATTTCTGAATAACCTCAGAATGTTTATGTCCCAAGAACTTGCTGAGCTTCTTCTCACTAACATACAATGTAGTGGTCCATCTTCTAAATCTTTCACCTGTGTGAAAGTCTTTTGTGTCTAGTTAAAACATATAATGAGATCTGCCAGCACAGTACAGAAGCATTTATTATCGCAAACAGCTCTCCAGCCTCCATATAAAACAAAGAGAACTAAGTAAGATATTTTTAGTAGAGTTATCAGAAACAGGGGCAGACTGACAACTCATGGGGCCCCCGGGCAATAGGGGATCATGGGGCCCCTGTGTCCTTGCCCAAATTCAAAAAAGCCTATGAAAAAGCTACTAGGGGCATCTCATGAGGCCCCCTACTGACCCCGGGCCCTCGGGCAGTGCCCGAGTTTCCAAATGGTCAGTCCGCCCCTGATTCAGAAATGAGCACCAGAAATGATAAGCAGCAATATTTAAATATATATATATAGTTATGCTATGTGAATTGGAACAGGTAAACAAATATTAAGTAGCTGTTGTGCTAATTTAGCTGCAAAAGTCAAAATACACTTTAAAGAAGAATTCCAGATATGGATATTTTATACATAGTTACATTGGTTCTGCTTCGACCAATGTAACTATGCATACATCATACATGTCTAATGCCCCTGGAAGCTGGAAATCACTGAAATAGACACTACTACTCCAGTGATCTCCACTTGTTTCAGCGTCCCATGCTGAGGAAAAGCATTCTCCAACTGGATGAGGTGGACAAATGTAACTATATATAAAATATCCATACTTGGAATATATCTTTAAATGAAAAAAACAGGAACATGAAATATCTGTTTTCAAGAAATGCAGTCTTTTTCTACTCTGTTTCTGTATTACTGCCACCCCCCACACAAATCACACACTTTACACACAACAACACACTACTCCCCCCCCCATACAAACACATACACTTGGTTATGGTTCAATGGAATGACTATAAAAGCCCCAAACTCTTGGACCTGGACTTAATGACAGACCACTGGTCACCCCTACTGGAGGAGGCATTTTGGGTGATCAAGGTACTCAGGTAAGTAAAAAAGTGGATTGCAGTGTTTTTTTGATGATGAAAGGGTGGCAGATCATGGCAGCTCACTAGCTTCTGAGGTGGGTTTTTTAAGTATATTGAACTACCTAAATTCAGGGTCTTCCAGGGTGATCAGGAAGATAAAAATTAGATGCCTGCAGTGTCCTCATAGTGCCATATTGTAACGTTTGATTCCAGTAAATGTATTTATGGGTTGACAAAAGAGGAAGAAGGATGTGTTGTATGGCCTACTTTTTTCTCCAGTTAATGAGCTTAAGCTGGGAAAGCATAGTCATTGATGGAGTGGCCACTGGACCTGTCATTGTTGGAGGAGACGCACTAAAAAAGTAATATTATCTGGTGTTTTGCAAACACCAGCCTAATGGTGATTTGCACTGATCACTCCCCTTTACCTCCTGTTCCTCAAACTCCCATTCCATATCCTGCCCCTGTGGGCCCTATGTATAGCTCTTCAAAAAGTCCACAAAATGAATTAAATGCATTGAGCTATGTATGTAAGGGTGAGCAGGGAAGTTGGGTGTATTTTCCCCATTCTCTTCTCCTCTTGTTGGGCCCAACAGGCACCAATAGGTGTGGGTCACATAGGAGACCTACCTCGTGGTGATACTTTTGGGGGTTACGCTAGGCCAGGGCGTGAAATTTCAAGTCTGAGCTACTAGCCAGGCCTTAGAGTTACTCTCACCATAAACAAACAACATACAAACAGAGATACCTCTACACACACACAGACATGTACATACACACACAGAAACATGTACACACATGCACAGAGACACATGTATACACACACACACATACAGACACATGTATACACACACAGGCACGTAACACACAGATAGATGTACATACACAGAAATACATATGCACAGACACATGTACATACACACAGACACATGTACATACATACACAGACAACATGTACACACAGACACATGTACGTACATAACCACGCAAACATACACATGTACATTATTATTATTATTATACAGTATTTAATATTAGCGCTCAAAAAGTTTGCTCAGCGCTGTACATTATAGTGGGAGACAGTACATGAGTCAATACAAGTAACAATACATACACGAGAGGTTCGAGGGGCCCTGCTCCTTGGAGGTGCTTACACATCTAGGAGGGAGGGTGATAGTGGTACAGAAGGAGGAAGTGTGCTGTGGGGGGATGGAGTGGTAGGAGGAGTGGAGGAGATCTAGCAGTTAGTGAGGGCAGGCAGGGGGTAGGTTTCTGAGAGATGTGGGTTTTCCAGGGTGCGCCTGTCTAAAGGTGAGGAAGGTAGTTGACAGTCTGATGGATTGGAGGTAGTGTTAGTTCCCAGAGGAAGGGGGAAGACCTGAAGAAGTCCTGGAGTCGGACCCATGGGAGGAGGAGACCCAGGGAGCTAGAGAGTAGGAGGTCTTGTGAGGAGCGAAGAGTACGTGTAGGGTGGTATTTGGATATCAGGTCCGGTGAGGTAGTTTGGCTTTATAAATGGATTACCATGGCATAGGAGATGAAATCAAACATGAAGATATCATGCTATGTGATCAGAAGAAAAAGAATAGCAGTATTTTGTGCAAAAGCTCTAAGGCTGGCCATACATTATACAATTTTCTTGAGAATTTTTGCTTTAGATTTACCAAAAACCATATAATATGAGGTCAAACCTAAACAACAACTTTCAGTTGTAACCAAATAGGCAGGCACCTTGCACTACATAGTTGAACGTAAATCTAAATGAAATTGGGACAGAAATTGGACAGAAAATTGTATAGCATTTGGCCCAGCCTTAGTTTCTTGTTCACCAAAGTAGCTGAGGCAGCTTATGAAAGCACTAAAACAACAATTTTAAAAGAACTATGGGATATCATGAAGGCAGCACCATGAGGCTCACGTGGTGAAATGTCAGACATATTATCAATCTACAAAACTTCCTGTACAAGGGATGCCCTAGGCACATGTGAGGGCTGATCTGTAATTTTAAAAAAGTCAAGAAAGCATTGTCTTTATCATGAATTTCTTTTTGTAATACACATTGTCAGCAATTTTACACACATGACACTAGAGTTCCCATGCAGAGTACTTTTTTGTATTATATGGAAGACAATACAAACTGCCACATACACAAAATAACAATGGTCTTATTTCGTGTTCAGAAGCAATGTAACCTGTTAATGAACGTAAAATGTTACATAACTATGGGATACCCATGCACACTTGTTAACTATAATGAAAAGATGTATTGAAAATAGCTACCAGTTCAAGGAAAAACAAAACATATTTACTTTTCCCAATTGTTACAATAACAATTAAGCAGATTGGTCAGTTTAGTAAAACCAAAGCAAGCATTTGAGTTCAATTTATTGCAGTATGTATGGTTACATTTTTTGTCAATGTAAGTTGATGGAAACTTTTATATTAGCTAGTTGTGCAAATCAAACACTTACCAAATGTACACTCTCTCCATCGTGGATCTTGTGGATTGGTACCTTTGCCTTGGCTTTGTATCTTCCAGTTCTGCAGATGGAGGGTGCACACACTGGAATGGGTTTTTGTCCATCAGAGCCACACACAGCGCCATCTTCTTCACACAGGCAGAATCCTGTTCCTGCACACACACACAAACACATGTACACACACAACATACATGTACAGACACGTACAATTGTTCATGACATACACAGACACACACAAACACACACATGTACACGTAAACACACACACACACACCACCACCACCCCCCCTCCCATAAAATGTTGCAGTACTTCGTTGTTCACTCACAGATCCGGGTACTGCACTTTAGGGGGAGGCAGGGAGCATAGCACACACTCCTTGTTTTGCTTTCACTGCGCTCAGCTATTGAGCAGTCTGATGGCTCCCAGTGCCAATGACAGATCCAGCCTGAGCCCCGAGCCTGCACAGCAAGACAGCCCTCGGGGGACACACTCGCCCCCACCATAAATTTCCACTCGCCGTTGGCGAACAGGCGAGTGGAAACTTCAAGCCCTGCGCTAGGCACATTGGACAGGATCACTTGCTTTACACATGGGGTACCTTTAATGGAACAGACAATTGAACTCTAATAAACACAATCTCAATGTATTACACTCCACCACGGTTACTTGTGTATTAAGAAGGGACATGCAGAGCCCTTGCCCTTCCACCTCCACCTGTCCAGCATATCACTGCTACCCCACTCCCAGTAATGGTGTGGGGTCTCACCATGCACCTACTGAGGACTCCATGTGTGTACTTCACTTAACTCTTCTGTACCTATGTGC